AAAGATCTAAATAGGTCCTTATATTCCACTGATTTAGAAAAAATGCTTAAAGTTTCAAGGATTATTATGAAACTTGGGTCAATTCTTTAGCACATCCAGATAATGTGCAGAACTTATATGCCAGGTGTGCCGGCTCAATGTCGGGGTCACACCTACAGGTCAAAGGATTAAGACTTGAGTTTCATGTCCGCTCCTTATCTCCTAAACCCAATGAAGGATTTTCATGCACCTTGTGTCAAATGTTAACCACATCGAGACCATATGCAGAACCTTTCTTTGGGTTACCGCGGACTATATTTAAACACTAGAAAGTGTTATTTTTTTAAAACTCCAAAAATGAAAATGTTGGTATTTGCAAATGGCATTTGCAAATGGGGTACTGTAATTTACAGATGGCGAAGTGTTTGCAAATGGTGTTTTACAAATGGCGTAATTATCCAAACCTCCACTTAACATATCATCATATGCAAATATGTACGAAAAAACAAAAATACAAATGAACAAAAAACAATAAAATGTGTTACTTGTATGCAAAACTATAATAAAATATGTATGCAAAACTAAAAAAAAAATATGTATTCAAAACTAAAAAAAAAGTACGACAAACAAAAAACAAAACAAAAAAAATGTACGGAAAAAAAAGTATAAAAAAGGCAAACGTCACTTTTATGCCACAGTTCAAAATACTCTAGTACAGAAATTGTGTATTCCTAAAATTAAAAGATGCTGCGAAAAATATCCCGTTCTGTCAGTCATTTACTTTTGGTGCCATATTGAGCCCCATTTTAAATATGTTGGGAATGAAATAAAATGCAGTTAATATTTTTTTCCGAAGAACTATAAATATACTTTATTGCAATGTTCTGGTGAAACATCAAGTTTTTCGATCGGACTATAAATATATAGTGATTTTTACAAATACATTATTAAACTTATCAACATACTTAAGGGTTTTTGTAAGCTCCGTAACAACCGTTCGCCAGAAATCTTACATACTTCTTTAGAAAGAGCAAACATGAATTTTAAAATGTTAAAATAATGGTATCAGAGAAATGTAAGATGCTTGTTACCTGAATAAAGTAGCTATGAATGTGAAATTATTTGTCATAAAAGTAGTCAAAACAATGTAGTATTTGATTTCCATATAAAATACTAATTCACTATAACTGTACAAATCATTGCCAAAAAGCAACAGATGAAAAATATGGTTCAGGTAATTGGCCAATGTGTATTTTTTGGAAAATATATAAGAACATCAAAATAAAAAAAAAACTTTTAAGAAAAACAATTAAAAGCAAATTAGGCCTTTAAAACGTTATTTTTAACCCTCGGAGGATCGATACCCCACAATCCCCTCTATACCCCATTGAGAATTTTACATTATTCTGAAGCTCCCCTCTAAATGTGCGACTACTTCATTAGTTGATATTTAAGAACTGCCTGTACGGACTACTACTTAAAGCCGCATCTACACCTAGTCAAGTTTCTTATGTGTCACATTTAGCTAAATAAATGGCTATTTGGTTTAAACATATTTTATTCGATATATTTACATTATGATGAACAATATTTACACAATACATTTGGGATTGGGTAGAAAGCTATGAAAGCTTATGAGTGTCCTGTCCCAGTTTAAACAATTTACATATATACAGTTCATGGCATTATCACGCACAAAATTCATTTAGTTGAAAATATATCAAAGACATTTTCAAAAAATATGTATTTTGCAATTAATAAACACTAAATAAATGGTCATGAGAAAAAAAAAAGCAAAAGAAAAATGAAACAAAATGGAGGTGAAAAAATAAATTATTATATGACAGAGATTAATTTAGTTAGAAGTCGCCGTTTAATTTTCACCTAGGAATGTGCAATCGAAAAGACAACTGTTTATTAGCGGAGACAAAAGAATGTAATAAGAATCTTAATTGATAGTTATAAAGTACAATTATGCAATTACGAAAAAAAAAACAAAAAAAACAAACAAAAAAAAACAAAACTACCCGCTAATATTGATAAAAACATTGAGAAAGAAAAGAAGAGGTGGATGAACAATAATAAAGCAGTAGGAGTAAACAAAGATGCATAATATATTAACTATGTATGTTTAGATGTAACAAGTGTAAGTAAGGCTTGGGGTACGCGCTAAAAGCGCTTCGTTTCTCGGATGTATTTTTGAACAGCTGTGTAACACCGCACTTTGGGGTCAAACGCACTTTGGGGTCCGACCCCAGAGTGCGTTACGCACTTTGGGGTCCAATTTCGACTCCAAAGTGCGTTAAACAGGTACATATGCATTTTTTAACATCAGGCAAACGACCGCACTTTGGGGTCATAGAAAATTAATGTTCATTATGTTTTAAATAATATATTGTAGTCAAAGCGAATGGTAAACAAAAATCAAGTATTAAATAGACGCAAAACATGTGCCCTGGATTATAGTAGAATCAATAGGGATTTAAATGGTCTTGATTAGTAAGTGAAGAACTTTCACCAAATAAATCACCTAATAAAGAATCTGTTTCAATTATTTAGCTTAAAGTATTTTTTTCTCAAATTGTCCATTTGTTTTAAAAGAATGTACACCGTTCATTAACTCCATTGTGTTTAGCTAAATGGATTATTTTCCCGTTTTTTATTTACACATTTTATAGAAATATGATAGTCTTAGCATAGACAAAGGTATAAATTCTGGGCAATCGTAGTAAGACATTTCAGTAAACAATGTGCCTGATAATATGTTGAAAGAGCCATTTATTAAGCTAAATGTGACATATAAGAAAATTGACTAGGTGTAGATGCGGCTCTAAGTAGTAGTCCGTACAGGCAGTACTAAAAATATCAACTATTTAAGTAGTCGCACATTAAGAGCGGAGCTTCAGAATAATGTAAAATTCTTACTGGGGGTATAGAGGGGTATGTGGGTTATCGACCCCCCAGGGTTAAAAATAACGTTTTAAAGGCCTATTTTGCTTTTATTTGTTTTTCTTAAAAGCTTTTTATTTGATGTTTTTCTATATAATCCAAAAAAATACACATTGGCCAATTACCTGAACCATCTTTTTCATCTGTTGCTTTTTGGCAGTGATGAGTACAGTTATAGTGAATTTGTATTTTACATAAAAGTCAAATACTACAGTGTTTTGACTACTTTTATGACAAATAATTTCACATTTATTGCTACTTTATTCAGATAACAAGCATCTTACATTTCTCTGATACCATTATTTTAACTTTATAAAACTCATGTTTGATCTTTCTAAAGAAGTATGTAAGATTTCCCATTAAAAAAAGCCTCTTGCGAACGGTTGTAACGGAGCTTACAAAAACAATTAAGTTTGTTGATAAGCTTAATTATTTATTTGTAAAAATCACTATTTATAGTCCGATCGAAAAACTTGATGTTTCACCAGAACATTGCAATAGAGTATAATATTTCATTCCCAACATATTTAAAATGGGGCTCAATAAGGCACCAAAAGTTATCAAGTAAATGACTGACAGAACGGGACATTTTTCGCAACATCTTTTAATTTGAGGAATACACAATTTCTGTACTAGAGTATTTTGAACGGTGGCATAAAAGTGACATTTGCATTTTTTTTAAACATTTCTTTTGTTTTTCATACATATATTTTTTTTTGTCGTACATATTTTTTTTAATTGTGAAAACATACTTTTTTAATTTTGCATACATATCTCTTTTTAGTTTTGCATACATATTTGATTTTGGTTTTTTGTACATTTTTTTTTTCGTACATGATTTACATGACGCCATTTGCAAAGTAGAGGTTTGGATAATTACGCCATTTGTAAAACACCATTTTTAAACACTTTGCCATCTGTATGTGGTTAACATTTTACACAAGGTGCCTGAAAATCCTTTATTGGGTTTTGGAGATAAGGAGCGGACATGAAACCCAAGTCTTAATCCTTTGACCTGTAGGTGTGACTCCCGACCTTGAGCCGGCACACCTGGCATGTACGTTCTGCACATTATCTGGATGTGCTAAAGAATTGACTCAATTTTCATAAAAATCCTTCAAAGCTTTAAGCATTTTTTTAAGCATTTTTTCTAAATCAGTGGAATATAAAGACATTTTTAGATCTTTTATTGTGCACTTTTGTAATACACCAGTCATTGGTATCCATTGCTGCCGAGGGAGTGCGGGTTAAAACAGAATCGTGCTTTGATGTTTGCGCTGTTCCGGGCCATAAGGCAGGAATGCCCGGCCGAATATGCCACCGTAATTTTGTTATATGAACACAATTTTTAGATATTTCAAGTGGTAAAATTAATGAAACTTTTATCACTTAAGCATCATCAAATTTGACCGCCATCTTGAACTTCACCTCAAATATTTCAATGTCGCAGATCGAAAATAAGTCAGTACTCAGTATTTAAGCAGAACTCAGATGACACCTTTAGACATCTGGAACCCAAAGTGCGTTGATATGTAGCATATTAACGCACTTTGGGGTCAATTTCTCGATTTTGACCCCAAAGTGCGTTGGACCCCAAAGTGCGGTGCGAAGTTTAACGCACTTTGGGGTCGGACCCCAAAGTGCGTTTGACCCCAAAGTGCGGTGTTACACAGCTGTAAAGATAGATACATTAGACTCGTAAGATAAAGAAGTGTTTCCAGTAAGAAGGACATTTAAAGAAGGATTACAAAATTGGGAAATAGCCGTTATTAATTCTGGTCGAAGGTTAGTATATTTAGGGCATTCCAAGAAATAGTGATAAGCATTTTCTCTCGCACCACATTCGCAGAATGGAGATTCGATACTATTCTTTTCAAATAGATCGGCAGAAAGCGAACTGCAGTGAGTGCGTAATCTTGTGTGAAAAATTTGAAGTTTGCGATCACCAGAAAGAAAATAAGCAGGCACACTTGGCAAATCATTATTAAGAAGGCGCTTAAAAGAAGCTAAGGTTGAGGCAGTTTGCGTTTGAGGTTGAAGAGAATTAAAATCTCTGATAACAGAAGGCAAGAATGATTTATAGTAATAATCTGTATTTGTGTGAATATTCTGTGTGTCGTTTGAGTTCCGGAGTGGGTACCGATGCTCACTACCAACAGACGAAGGGACAAGGTCAGAGAGGTATTGAGGGGTAAGACTATTTTTCATTTTAAAGAAAAGAATCAATTTATGTTTGTAACGCCTTTTTTCCAAGGATTCCAACCCAACTTCTTTCATGAGTTTATCAATAGACACACGTTTAGTTGTTCCGGTAATTATAAGAATTATAATAATTTATAATAATAATGAGTGAGACTAAAAAAAGGATTGGAGCACCACACTAAATACCGTATTCCGGTATATACCGGGCAAGGCGCCTGAATCATAAAATGCTAAAATCTTGCCTTTTTACCCAACGGAATGAACTTTAATAGGTCTAATTCATCTTTTCTCACCGATTTATGTATGATAATGAATGAAAAATGTGAAAATCGGCAAAAAAAACGATATTTGTCTATGTTGTGATCATGATTTCTGCAAGCGTCTAAAGGTACTGCTCCAATCCTGTATTGAGTTAAATCCATAAATAATGTGCTTATGAGCAAAAACAACCATTTTCACAGATTTTTGGTTGCTGCAAAAATTTCATTTCTTCGTTTTGAATTTTTTATTCATTCATCTGTAAATGTCCTCAAAATGAATACACTAGGCAGTCACAGGAACAAAACTTTTCTCATTAAAAAGAATAAAATGGAGGTTTCCTAACTTGACCTACGTGGGTTCGGTTGGAGCGTTAAGATTTATAAATGTCGTTACAGTGTACTCTTGAAACGTTAAAGAACATCTCAAATGAATGATTTAGGTTCGTTTCAATCATACAATTCCCACAATATTTGTAATTGTAACTTGCTTGAGTATCCCTTTAACACGTTTAACACGTTCATACCGTTTTATGAAATGGGGAATATAACCCATAAAGACCTCCTGATGGTATCCCCAGTGATATTTTCTTATTTGTGTAATGTTTGTTCAACAAACAACAAAGTTTAGAAAACGACCTGTTGTAATCAGTAAATTAAAAAAAAAACCCAATCACTTCATTATTGTGGCTGATTTGGTACACCTTTGTGCGTCTAGTTGGCGCTAGCGACAACACGACAAAGTGCCAAACCACGCGTTTTCTGACTTTTGTCTTGTCGTCCTGTCGTCGCTTACAGGCCAAAACGCCAAACGGCGCGTTGTCGCACTGTCGTCCTGTCTCAAGCGAAGCACGCCAAACGGCGCGTTGTCGTGCAGCGCGTCATCGCGAATAAGCCTTGTCGCTTGGCTTATAAGCCAATCCTTCGATTTGAACCGAGCGACAATGTGACATTCCGACAACACGCCGCACAACAACGCGCCGTTTGGCGTGCATCGTTATCGACAGGACGACGAGCGCCAACTAGACGCACAAAAGCGTACTAAATCAGCCACCATACTTCAGCAACGTATCATCACTTGCGCCGGTAACACGGTGTGAAAATGTTCAGTTACTCAGCATTAAAAATGGAGATGCGGTATTACTTTTCTTACTTAAGTTTTTTTGCCAAGTTGGTAACATTACGCACGTCAGACAAAGCAATACATAAACTATCTGATTTCAAGATCTTTCAGTTAAGGAATTAATGGTTGACTTAGTAAAAGATTTTAAGTTTTCAACTTGTGGCACATGTAGCCCTAAAAATATTTGACCTTAAGTCAAAAGATTGACAAAACATTTTGTCAGTGTGGGGGCACCCGTGTCCTATGGTCACATTTCTAGTTCTTTAAAAAAATCCAAATTAAATGACGATATAAGAGATTCGGGAAGCAAGCAAACATTTCGCCTGTTTAGATGTGCATGTTCTATTTTTGCGTAATTCAAGAGTTTATTGGTGAAAATCATTTTTAATTCAAATACGGATGTTTGACTATGAAACAGTGGTACATATGTCACTACGTACTTTTGCAATTTGGCGACTTTTGGAATCAATAATATAATAATGTTGTATTTGTAATGCTGATAGTAAAGGGGCTTTTGTCGTATGGGCATTTATTAGCAACATTGTAAGTTCAAAGATTTAATTTAAACTGGGATTAATTATAAGGACTCTCATTTCATAATTTTCCTTCCCCAATTAGTATATTTGCCTTTTTCAAAAGAAACCATCCAATTTTACGTAAGTTAGAAATTCGTAACTATCATTGAAATAAATGTACAAAGTTAGATTAAGTATTGCTGACAGACAATATAACCCCTTCTTTTTCTTATGAACTCTCAAAAACGACTCTGAAAAGAACTTTTCAATGTGTATATGAAAACTCCAGAATATATTTTTAAGCTTAAGTTGTCCATCACATCTGCAATGTCATTTGCATTTAAATTAGAGGTCTGTGATTGGAGCCCTAATGTAGCTTTTTTATCATACAATTTTTGCAGTATATTTTTATGGAAATGACGTACTATCATCTTGTATGCATGTAGACACGATGTGGAGATATCTAATTTCTCATTTTTAATTGTATTCAACGGAATTTTAATACTTTAAATTCAATAGGATTTTAGATATCCGTACGTAATTCTTGAATATTGACTTTACGAAATCAATAGAGTAAAATAAAGCAACATAAATGGATTATCACTTTATATAATTATGTAAATATAAAAAGGAAGACACAACCTTCGGAATCTCGTCTTGAAACACAATATAATATAGGACGTAGAAATAACAAGTAAAAAAATTGTGCTATGACATCATCTGACAGTTAATCGGATCATCTCGATTTTTGTGCCCCCACTTTAGTGGCGGGCATTTAGATTTACCCCCTTCCGTCCGTCCCTTTTCTTTTGTGTCGCACGTAACTCGAAAAGTATTTGACCTAGTGTCCTGAACCTTTACAGGAATGTTGATCAGCATGTGTAGTTGTGCACCTGCGTATTTTCGTCTGCATTTATTTAGTATTTTTAGAGTTATTGCCCTTGACTTAGTAAAATTTTGCAATTTTCAACTTGTGTCGCATGTAACTCAAAGAATTTGACAGTCATGAAAGTTTACAAAAATGTTGGTCTGCATGCATGTGTACTTATTCACCTTGGGGTTTGCTTGTGGATTTATTCAGTATTTGTAGAGTTCTTGCCCTTTACTTAGTAAAAGATTTTTAGCTTTCAAAAAATATTTGACCTACAGTCATAAGATTGACGGAACAGTGGCGCGGTGGGGGCACCCGTGTCCTATGAACACATTTCTAGTTTCCATATAAATGTCCTTATGGAAGATAAAAGTTACGATTGATCCAAATTTAAAACTTAACCACTCCTTACTGTATCATCTTACAGACCTAATCAGCTTATTACAAAGCTATCAAACATTAATGTCGTGCGATACTACTCTGAATGAAATTGACAGGTAGATATTCAAATATTTTCACACCCAGACCCATTCATATTTGATAAAATTTGTATTTTCTTTCTTAAAAAGACCCACAAATTACCACGGTTATAATTATTTTTTTTTGCACGATTTTCCAGCCCCATACGACATTTACTGTAGAAATGGAATGCCAGAATCTTTATACAGTTTGGACAAGAATTTGCTTTTAAGTGCTACCTGCTCAATAATGCACATTTGACCGCGTCATTGACAAAACCAACAATAATGGTTTCGATCAGCATGGGATCCAAGACCATCCTTTGCGCCTCCGCGCAGTTTCTGAATTCAGGATCCATGCCGTTCGGCTTACAAACCCGGTATTACAATTAGAGAAAATGATAGCAAAAGGGCATTGAATCCGATCAGGACGCCGCGGAATGCGCAGGCTAGTTCTTGAAACCATGCTGGTTTCGAAACTCGAAAGAAAAACCGCATTTATTTTTGGTTTGTCTTTGGGCGCGGCAATTTTTAACAAAAACGGTTACTTTTTAAACCTGTGTTTACATGGGGAAGAAATTATGTAAAAGAAAAAATTTGGAATAAAAAATTTTTAAGGGCCGAAAGGGTGACATAAACCTGAACATTCTTAACCAAAGATTCCGGGTTTAAATCCTAATAGAACTGTATTATAATTCTTGCCTTGAACACAGCCAATTTTCACATGCAATGTGAGATTACAATTGTCATGAAACATAAATCTTTATATTTGACATTTTTTCAGCTTACTCCTGTGACCCAGACAATACCGTAACAGTTACTGGGTTCACTGCTGGAACAAATTTTTTTGCCAAGCAAGGTGCAACAACGTGTACCTCAACCCTTGATAGTGATAATACCACGCTAACAATAACAAATTGCAAAAAGGTAAATTTATTATGTACACTATTTTTCTGGGGTTATCCACGTTAAAGGCGCATTATGCCTCGGAATCGTTGTCATTTTTATTCCTTAATCTGTCGTTTTTATGCCCCGCCATGTAATGGCCGAGGCATATAGTGTTACCCTATTCCGTCCTTCCGTCATTCTGTCATTCCGTCATCATCAGTTTCCGTTCATTATCTTAGTAACGGTTGAACACATTCAACTCAAATTTGACATATGGATATGTCATGAGAAAATACAGGTCAAGTTTGAATTTGGTCATGGTTCGATGATTTTTGGCAGAGTAATGCCACTTTTACTTTAAAATAATATGAAATTTTCAGTTTCCGTTCATTATCTCCCCAACGGTACAACACATTCAACTCAAACTTGATATATGGATATGTCATGAGAAAATACAGGTCAAGTTCGAATTTGGTCATGACTCGATGGTTTTTGGCAGAGTTATGCCCCTTTTACTTTGAAAATAATATGAAATTTTCAGTTTCTGTTTATTATCTCCCCACCGGTACAACACATTCAACTAAAACTTGACATATGGATATGTTTTTGGAATGCCCAGGCCAAGTTCGAATTTGGTCATGGTTCAATGATTTTTGGCATTTCACTTTGAAAATAATATGAAATTTACAGTTTCTGTTCATTATCTACTCAACAGTGTTACATATTCAACTCAAATTTGACATATGGATATGTCAAAGGAATGGGCAGGTCAAGTTGGAATTTGGTCATAGTTCGATGATCCATGCTGGTCGCAAAGCCAGTTTTGTCGAGATGCGGCACATAAGAAGTCTCTGATCTGTGAACTGCTTGGTCTTACCAATATACTGTATACTCGGACAAGAGTTGCCTAAGAAAGTGCGCATTTGGTTGTATGGCAAGCTCATATATGAAAGCAAAATCGGCATCATAAATAATTTAGAATCAATTTGCAGATTTTTTACACAATGTTCTACAATTGAAATTCGATTATCGTAACTTTGGTTACAAGTCCATAATGTCGTTACGTCAGGTCCAATCAGGTCGGGTTCAGGTCTCGTTTGTTGATTCCATCAGGGTCTTTCAAATAGAAAACTGGACAAGTTAAAAAGCTTTTAAAAATATCTTGGTAAATGTAGATTGCGTTCCATATAATAAGTGATTATATTAATTATCAAAGGAAAATAAAATGGTAAATTTGAAAATCTGAAGGTTTCCTTTCGTAGGATTCGGAAATACTGGTCACATATGGCTCCTACGCAGACATGGAGACAAACGCTCTACATGGCGGTACAACTGTGAATGCGTTTAAAATAACATGTAACGAGATTGCTGCAACTGGTGTCAACCATACCATCACAAATGCATTTACAGCCAGGTAAGAATGTTACATTTACAGCCAGGTAAGAATGTTACATTTACAGCCAGGTAAGAGCCAGGTAAGAATGTTACATTTACAGCCAGGTAAGAATGTTATTAATTAACTCGTTAAGTCCACTTCAAGCCTTCAGTCGAGTCTTCAATTGAATTAATACAAGTTTTCAGTTTCAGAATATGTTGCAATATAATACTTGTCAAGACAATTACAAGAACATCCAAGTTTTTAATTCATGAAAATGACATGCTGTCAGATGTGTTGTGTTAATTCCCCTCTTTTTACATTCATAATCCAGGGTTATTCATTCAACTTTGAATATCAGTAAAACAAATTCCGCCGACGGGCAGTACAAATATTTGTAGAAGTAGAAATAATCATTGGCAGAGTATTTAAATATATAAGAAATAGGGCAAGTTTCATTATCAACATAACAAAAAAATGTTGATATATAGATATTGCTTTGTCATCTGAAGTCTTTCCTTACTATCTAGAACAAAATAATTTGTCAAACTATTTAGATTATTCTATGCCACACCAGGTTTGACATCTGATGCTAAATCTGTAGTACCATGGAATGATTTGGACACTCGAATCACAGATACGTTGTGCTTTCAAAAAACTTCAAGAATTTGAATTGCCTCTTTAATTAATTCTGGAAGGTTTTGACAAGTCCATCATACATCCTCATTAGTATGTTAATGACAAAACAAGTTATAATTTGTTTAGTATCAACATCGTAAATGCCCCAGTAATTACTGGTAAATAGCAACAGACATCATCTGAAAATTGAAATCTTGATTAAAAAAATCTAGATCATCATACGTTTTGCCGTAAATATTTAAATTCTTATGATCTTTTTTTTATTTTCACTGTTAATAATATATGTTTGAAAGTAAAAAAAGTAATGGGATTAATAAAATTTTTATGTAACCCCTTGGAACTTTACAAATTTTCTTTATATAAAATAGTTACTCGTTTCCTTGGAAGAGTAATTCTTAAAATTACACAACACGAGTAGGTTTCAATTACAGAAACACCATAATAGTAATTATCTACATGACTTGGAATTGTCCACCCTGTAAGAATAACAGGAGAGGTGTTTACCCCCAGGGAAAAAAACCCCGGGTAGAATCTCTTTATGTTTGGGGTTTTAAAAAATAATTGTAACCGATAAATCTCGGGGTTATAAACAATTTTTTAAAATTTTGGGTAGGGTTTTAATCACCCCGATAGATTAAGTATAACATAGGCAAGGATTTTTGCAAAGTGTTTAAAACCCCGTCGGGTTTCATTTTCCCATTACTTTTTTCCCTTCATACATGAAAACAGAAAAAACCTCTTTAACCTTTAAAGCCCAAAAAACACTACATCAAGTTATATATTTGTCTCGTCATGAATGCCTATGCATCAACTTGTATAGTTTTCACCTTAATTTCAGTCTGTCCATTGATGCAACCCCTTCTACTCAACCGACATATTCTGTGACGTCAACTCTAACTCCATCCTCTGTAACTGTTGGCGACCCCGTCACCTGGACAATATCTTATCCAAGTAAGTAATTAAAGAAATAATTAAACCTGTCGGCAAAAACCACCAAAGGGAAATACGAACAAATTGATCGAGAGTTTATTGCTTTTTTTTTCAATAAAAGGTCAGTAGGAAGTGGCCTTTATGTACATTGTCTTTATTCTGAGATGGTCTTTGATACCTGTATAATATATATACATGTATATATAATTATACACACTACTATAAAATAACTGCATTGAGCAAACTTAATTAAATCCGTATATTTTTTAAATTTTACCTTTAAATTCTTGAATATAACTTACACACTTGCCTTAACAACAAGCCTACTTGCAAGTCTTGTAAGAAACCTTAAGAAATTGTTCCAGTTGTCTCCCTTGACGCTTTTCAACGATACTTTACGTTTACACTTGACAAAAACATGTCAAATAAATTAACATTGAAGATACCGATACAACTTTTGCGACTGTAAAGATGGTGTAACAATAACATGTTTTAATAACGTAATTTGTTATACAAACATTGCGTAAATTCGCACTTATTACCATTAGATTAAATATCTCAATAAAATTTTTGATTCTATTATATAATTCATAGAATAACCTTTACTTCTAAATTTAATGAACAACTTGTTAGTGCACTTTGTTTATTTTTACCCTTTGAACATTTTCCAGGACATAGTTCTGAAAGTATAATAGATATATACAAGACACTTTGTAGGTCGGTCTCATTGAGTAGAACTGCTGTACAAAGAACAGTAACTCTGCCTTGTCCACGTTTGGAATTATTGCACTTTGAACTTTGTCCGGACATAACTCTGAAACTGTAACAAGAGGTATACTTTTGTGTCCAAGACCTATTCGGGAAACATCACCCGGTTCAACAAGCTCTTGTATTTTTTTGTGGATGTCAAATTGTCAGTATGCAGTTTGCATCCTTACCAATGAGTTGTTACAAGTTCAGAATAACACACCTTTCAAAGGTCAAGAAGCCATGTAGATGTTTATATTTCAGTAAACAAATACTTTGAAATTAATTCAAATTGTGAATATCGCAAAATAACTTGTGAAAAAATAGATATAAATGCTTTGTAAATCCGAGTGTGATCTGTTTACATGTATAACTATGTATAGCAGCAAACAGGGCAGTTACAGAGGTAAAATACCTTGACCTTTATACTTATACTAGTAATCCTTGGTAACACATACAAGAAACGATTATTTCACTGGTACAAAAATGGCGCGAACTTTGAAATACAACTGCTATATACATCTAGTCCTTCAATGTAGTTAAATTACATCCTAATCTTGATATACATGTATTTGCAGTGTTGAAATGTAAATCTAAAGACCTTAATTATATTTAATTGATAAACCGTTTTTTTACATTACAGGTGTTTACAGTCTGAAAATTGTTAGCTGTAGTGCATATGCTGGTACAAATGCGACTGGTACAGCCCTCTCTTTGATTTCTGCTGGAGGGTAAGTGGTGTATATGGTCATTGGTTATACGACCCCCCCCCTCCTTCCTCCAACCGAACTTTTTATTATGCAAGTTTGAGAAAAAGTTTTTTTATATATTGGTGGCGGGCGTCATCTCGTGTGGTGAAAAGCATTTTACTACACGAGGGCAACATTCATCAACGGACATTGTAAGTCAAACGTGTAGGTAACACGATGAGACCCGACAGACATTGTACTACACTTTAACGTAGTGAATTTACATGCATTGAAGGATTTATTTTTCTAAATTTTTCCGATTATGTTCTGCACAAAATTAAAGTTCCATTAGCCTAATTCGCATACAAATTAAAAATGAACATTTATTGACCCTTTCATTATTTTAAGTTAAATGTTCACTTACATGAAACCACTAAATTTGTGATGGATTGTATTGTTTGCCAATGACTCTAATAAGACATTAACTTTTATAATAATTTAAGTTGAAAGATGTGATCGGTTTATTACAAACATAATAACGCTTTTCAATTTATTTAGCACAATAAATAATTATGATTATACTGGGAAAATGGAAGGAGGAAATGATCTGAATTTTCACACCAATTATTGGCCTAAACTTGCATCAAATGGTAATTACAAATACTGGAAGATATTTCCAGTCCCATGCCAAAAACCTCAGTGGAGCGAGTCCCTTCAAGTTTAGAAGGCTATTTGGATTACTTTGATCAAAAGTAAAGGTCACTGTGCTAAAAACGGATTTTTACACTTGATGTACAGCCTCTATATTTAGATGGTGCCATGGGTAGTCTCTAGAGTATACGGTCAATAAGTTCCATGATTTGAAGGTCAACGGTATAGAAAATGTTTAGTTTTTATTTCGACGTTATTACTAGTCTGTCATATATGGTGGGAACTTGCCTTATATGGTCATTACTTTGAGTGTAGAAACGAGTTCCAGAAGTTTATATCAAATGTGGCGCTGCTCAAATTGCATATTTGGGCTTTTGCTTATATCTATCGCTGATTTTTTCCTTTAATTTGGTACAAAATCCCTTTGGTTTTTATTTGGTTTATTTTTTGTTTTTGGGGTAGGGGTCATGGTTTCCCTTAAAAAAAAATATTTTTTTAAAAGGGTTGTTAAAAAAAATTGAAAGGGAATTTTAGGCACTAAATTCCCCCATACCGGGAAATTTAATTTTTTTGCAGTTCTATGTTTAAGTGCTGCAATCATTCTTTTTAAAATTTCAGGGTTTTTTTTTTTAAATTTACATCGCTTTTTATCACCCCATTTAAGGTCATGACAAATTTTTGGAAAAAATTTCCCCTTTTCAAAGTCCCTAAAATTTGTAAAATCACGGGTTGAGACGAATGCAACTTAGGGAGCTTTTTAGTGAATAGATATTTTTAAGATATTTTGAAGTTCGTGTTCGGCGGCCAATGTTCGTTTTCCGGAGGCCAGTATTCTTCTAAAAGGCAAAAAAGACAAATACGTTTAAGGACTTTAACCCTATAGATAAAAGATGAATAAATGATTAATGTAAAATGTCTTATTCAGGTGTTCCTTATCCGAACAACTAGTATCAGACTTCAATGACAGCGGTTCATCTGCGGTAGCAACACTAGAAGCTTTCAAATTTTACTCGGTGAATCATGTATTCTTGACGTGTAATGTCAAAGTTTGTCCCGCAGCTGGTGCGGCAAACTGTGCTGTAAGTATACAAGAAGATATTCACATAACTGATATGTAAGAGATTTTCCCGGTCTAGAATTAAGTGAACTACCAAAATACAGAGCTGGATCAACTACGTAGATGATGATTATATACTGCTTGGAGGGTGGGGATACAATTCGTTGCCCTAACCAGAAGAGCATTAACACTTGTAACATCCAGTGTTCTTGCCTGCTGATGTATAAAGCATTTGTGGTACTCTCTTGATTTGACCGCCGTAACTGCCGTATGAACACATCTGCGGATGTTTCTAAATTCAAAATTTTACCATTTCATGTTATGTTCTTCTGCTTAAGCCCATGCTAGGGGTGTGGACGGTAGTTTGCTCTTGATAGTACCGAGCATGCAACCTTTCAATGTTTCCGTTTCGAGCTTTCTTTAGAATTATTTTTTCTATTTTGATTTCCAAAAAAACTGGTGGGAAATTTCCCAATTTTTGGGGGTAATTTGATTTTATTAAAAACCTGTCCAATTCGATACGGTCAATTGCATAGAAGCAATGAATGTAAATTCCGGTGGAGATGTACACAGTAAGATTATGATTAAAATCCACCTTCTTCTCTCCAAACAGTTTATAGGTGCCCAATAAGGTAAACACGGGTATATAATTTTAAAAATGTCCTACGTGTTGTAATATCAGAACAGCGTATATCCAGGTATTTTTCGTGATCATTTAATTAAGTTTTATCTTAACCAAATCCGTTGAAAGTTTATAGTTCTTTTCTATTAAAAAAGGGGTTTTCCCTTTTTGTAAATTACCCCCTATACTTTTTTTATATAACTTGTTCAAGAATTTAATTAAATTAAAAATTTCATTCGGATTTAAGATTCAATAGATGTTCATTTCAGTGCCGTAAAATACAATACAAACGCAACAATTCAGTGTTTCCCAGTTGTTTCGTATCTGTGTAGATAATTTTGAAAGCACTTGACCATTTTCATTATAATATACTTAAAAATAAAGAAATGAAAAATTAATTTTTTTGTCTAAAAATAAGTATAAAAATGTCAATAGAAGGGATCAAACCTCGGACCTTTCATACATTTGGTAATCACTTAACCGCCTGTGATATTGCGGATGTTATAAAGCTAATGGGAGTTTTCCAAACGTAATAGTTATAATCATATTAATTCTCGTAAAATAAACGACAAAACCAAAGTGGGATCGAATGTTTAAATAAGCGCTATAATGTACTCATAATTGACAGGTCAACAAAATCAGACTATACATTGAAATGAATTGTAACAGATAATGAGAAGGAAGCTGATTCTACCATTGCCGCCATTACAGACCTAGATCCAACAGCACATCGGAACTTTGCAAGAATCTAAAGAAAAATTAAGCCGTGTCATGACAAAACCAACATAATGGGTTTGCGACCAGCATGGATCCTGATCAGACTGCGCAGATGCGCAGGCTGATCTGAATCATGCTGGTCGCAAACGCACTATGTTGGTTTTGTCATGACACGGCTCATATGGGCTGGTCAAATATTATAGATCTAGTGAATCTGATTGTGCATAATCAATGCTTTCTAAATGTGATATATTTTGTGCACTTGTAACATTTGAAGACTCATTTCCAAAAATGAATCTTAACTAATAAATGTGCTACATTTTTATTAATCTTCTATTGAATCGTTGCTTCAATTTTAAATGCAAAAAAGGGGGTAGTTCAAAAAAATTTTATAAATTGGGGTCTCTGGCAATTGAAGTTTTTAAAAAATTTTTCCCCAAAAATTTTTTATTTTTGTAAATTTAAAAAAAAAACAGTTATTTTTAATGTTACATTTGGCTTTCTTTTCATATTTCTGCAGTCCTCTCATGCAAAAAGAAGGAAAAGAAATTGATTTCAGCTGATTTCAAAAGCGGTTAATGATGGTGGAAACGACGGAAATTACATCTCTCCCGAAGAAATTCATTTAACTTATACTGACATAACTGATCCCTTCAGAAAACGTGCCTAAATCAAGGGTAATGTATTTAATGCATAAAATTTTTATTCGAATTATTCTAATGAGGGTTATCTTAGTGCCCCACCCCCCACCCCCAAGCGTTGGCTTAACCCCTTGTGTTCAGTTTGCGTACCACATTTAACATATTTAAGTCTATTTACATATGGCTTTTAAACTGCACACTTATTAACCATCACGCCCCCAACCTATAAACCAGACGAGGTAACTTTAATCCGAGTTTTTTTGAAAAAGAAATTGTGCCCCTTTTTTTAAAAAATTAAAAAGTTACCCTTTAAGTTTGCCCCTACCACCCAGATTTTTTTTAAAAGGGGGAAACAACATTAAGGCAATTTGGGTTTTGGGGTTGCCCCACTTGTTTTCCCAATTTATAAAATCAACCTGTTAAAAATTCACATTTTTCCCAAACTTTTTTATACGCATGTTTCAAAAAAATGGTTACATATTTGGAAAAATATTCTGGGGGCCGGCGAAACCGGTGTTCAATTTTTCTCGGAGATATGGAAAAATTTTTAAAACAAAAATTATTGAAAACCCTTTTACCATTTTGAGAAGCCATGTCACGTACATAAACCAGGTATAGGGGTCAAGGTCAAACTTAGAGGTCATTGAAAAAACTTCATCGGGGATTTGGGAAAGTTTTTGCACAAAAAGTTCACCAATTTTGAGACTTGTAATTTCAAGCCCTTTAAACCAGGTCCCTGCTTTCCCCCAAAAATTAAGTCCACAAAAAATATTATGTCATTTGTGTTTTTAATCCATTCCCACAAATGTTTAAAGCATGTTAATTTAGGAAAAGATGATAAAATATTTCCCGATATGTTAGCATTTAAATTTCCCCGAAAATCTATTTTATATCCCCTATCCTTGTCAAAAAGCTTTGTGAAAGGGCCCCCAATTAAAAGCGCAATAATATTTATGCCTCAATTTTTTCCCTTTGAAAATTATATTAAAAAATTTAAAGATAAATTTCGAGTTAAAAAAACCGGGGTTCCCAAAATTTTTAAAAAAAAAGGATCCCCCTCCCTCCCAAAACCTTTTTAAAACTAAACAGATTTTGTATATTTTTAATTTATTTGTAAATTTTTTTAGATTTCTTGCCTGAAAATACTGTTTACTTCATTTAAGCTGTACTATTCCTAGAACAGGAAATACTATTGTACACAGCCATGTGTCACATTTTTTTGTAAAGTTCTTGCTTGCAAGTTGGTATTTCCAAATCAAAGTGAAGTTTCAACAATACATGGGTTGAAACGCAAGACACTTAGGAGAATAATAGGTCACTGTCTCAAACATTGATTTTTGGCCGAATTAGGGCCCATTTTTTATGCTCCCCGAAAAATTTGGGGGGAGCATATAGTCGCCGCCTTGTCCGTCCGTCCGCCCGTCTCCTTTTCTTGTCCGGGACATAACTTTGAAACAACAAGAGATATCAACATGAAACTTTGTAGGTAGATAGATCTCATTGAGTAGGTGTGCAGTGCACAAGAAACGTAACTCTGCCTTGCCTAACTTTTGAATTATCCCCCTTTGTTTATTTTCACACTTTGTCCAGGACATAACTCTAATATCAACATGAAAAATTTGTTTGGTAGGATAAAAACTCATTAAGTTTGGTTTCAGTGCAAAGAAAATGTAACAAATTTTCTTTCCCACTTTTTTGGGGTTAATTTTCCCTTTGTTCATTTTGAAAACTTTGAACTTTGTCCGGGGCTTACTCTAAAAATTTTAAAAAAATAAAAAACAAAAAAACCCTTTTTAAAAATAGGGAAAGGTCTCAAATTTGGGTTTGAAAATGCAGGCTTAAGAAATTTAATTTTCTTTTGCCTTGCCAATTTGGGGTTTTTGCCCTTTTTTTCATTTTTTTTTACTTTCCTGTGTTCAGAACCTTCTCGGGGAGCATCACCCGGTTCAACCGGTTCTTGTTGAACTTGGTAAAACAAGACTGAATAATGTGGAATTTTCTATAGAGTCGAGCACTTGTCGCACTGACAAATATTTATGCCCCACTAACCATATCAAAAGTATAAATAGCAGGCTTTTGTTTCTGTCTAGGAAGGTGTCAATTGGGATGTTACTAACTTCGAATCACTTAACCCGTCTTCTGTATGCTCATTTCCTGCCGGGGACTTTGGATTCTTTAAGAAGCTGTCTAGCATGCTTCAGGAATGGCACTGGTTCTATTTAGGTGTTTTCACCTTGCTGAAATTACACATTTAACTGCACCAACCGAGTCGTTCCTCAATTTTAGTTAAGCTTCGTCATCGTGTAGTCAGTTATTCAAACATTTGTTTTAACATAAAACTTTGGGTACAGTTGTTAAACAAAGGGCCATAATTCTGAAAGCAAGACAGTTTTGCCCCTTAACTTGTAAACTTTAACATACGAGTGTTTACACCACATGCGAGACGCTCTTATTTACGATTTTATGCCTTTCCATTTCAGTTGTACCTTTTGGATGGACTATTTCATTTTCTCTGGCATTTGCGTTGTACATGGAATTTGGTAATAGAGTTTGAATGTCTACACAGATGGAAACAAATTCATTATACATAACAGCTCCTTACCAAACTTGCCGGAATGTCTTGTATGTTAACTTATTAAAAGCTTGAGAAAATACATTTCTGTGCTTGTCGTTACACTGTCAATTTTCCCGAGGTAGCATTCATAAAACAAATTTCTCTCTATAACGAATTTATAGCAACGTGCTCTGCAACAAATTAAAAATTAAAAACCTCAAAAGCCTGCCCCGTTAACCCGAGTAACCCCCCTTGCCACCCAATGAAGACCAATATTCACCAACATTCTTTGCTTTGTCATTGACCTGCGTTATATTCCATTATTCACCAAGTATTAAAAAATTTCGCCTAAAGATTTTAATGGAATGGTTGTTCTAGTTGGCAACCCATTTTGAAAAAAAAATTAGGTGGTTATGGTTAAAACAAAGCTCTTTAGCTTTTGACTTGGTTATAAGCACTTGAGCTTGCTTGCTCTTTCCTAAAGATAATAACAAAATACAAAATGTACATATTTGTCAGTTTTCCGTTAAATATCACAGCTAGATACTTTGGGGATAGAACCTATCCCCAGGTTTGAACCACCCGTGTAAAAGGTCAATAAAAACCTTTAACACAGGTGGGACATCTGTATTAATCATTGATTACATTTTTAAACAATTTCCATAAGAATAAAAAAAATCGGTACATTAGTATCAAGAAAGTACTTTTTGGAGACTTGATGGTACATGGGATTTTCATTATTGTAGTGATTGTTTAAAAACAAATGATTAAGATGTCCAGTTTGTGAAAACATCAGATTTTTAATGACCATGTACAGTGGAGAATTTAAACCCGGGTGAAAAGTCTAAACCCCTTTAGTGGGCCCCGTGTTAAAAAAAGAAACCGCTAAGTTCATTTTAAATGGTCATGTCATTTCCCCTTTCATTGGGCCCCTAAAAAAGGCTCCCCCCAAAAAGGGGTAAGAAAATCGTTACCATCAAACCAGAATTTTCTTTAAACCGAATCTCTAAGGACCCGATAATATGTTTGTAATGCTTTACTGTTACAAGAGTATGCACTTGGTTACTTGGACATTCTGTATACTTATATGAGCAAAATAGAAGCAAATATGGTATCAATTTGCAAAATAATGTAATGCAAAGTTAAGTTCCAATGTTTGCCAAGTACAGTACATGCATACAAAATTCCTTTAAACAGTACACTTTTGTTTGCCACAGTATAAACGGCATATACTGCACGTTTGTACCAGCTTCCCTGACTTTAAACTGTTCCTAAATGCTAAACGGGTTGATCAATGAAATTGGCTTACACATACAAAGGAGATAACCTAGGAGATAACCTAGCAATTGATCAAATCGAAGGTGTAGTTGGCATGCCCCTACCGTTTACAAAAATTACTATTGAGTATATAAGTATATAACATTAACTGTTTGAAACATTAAGTCAAACCAATTTTTATATATATGTATAGATTGTAGTCACATCCACAATAGCAGTCGGGTTGAGTTAGTGCCTTTTATACTAGAAGTATGTGGTTGATCATTTAGACCTACTCTTTATTTTCGCAGTATAAGTTTTAGTGTCAGGTGCTTGCAAAAAAAATGTCTATACAAGGTTACGAGGCAACTTAAAAACAGTTTTGTCTCGATTGGTATTGCGTTTTAATGGCATTCAAATGGCATTTATTGATTTTTTTCCGAATAAAATTTTAACCCCTTTTTTTAACTTTTTGACTTCACTTAAAAAAAGTGCGTAAAAATATTAAAAAAAAAACGACCCTACAAAAACCCCTCAGTCTTTAATGTTGGGGAAAAAAACCAAAAAAAAAATTTCCCCGGAAAAAAGG